TCAATCCTATACTTGGTTATATATATATATATATATATATATATATATATATATATATATATATATATATATATATATATTAAGAAATGGAAAAGTCCGACAATTTATTTATTAAAGACATTTTATGTTTAACGTTCTTTTTTATAGATACAAATACTTAAATACTTGTATCTATAAAAAGAACGTTAAACATAAAATGTCTTTATATATATATATATATATATATATATATATATATATATATATATATATATAATGTTATTATTATCGTCGTATAAATTGGAATCAACATCTATAGTTCAAATTCCGGCCCATGCTGTTGCATTTACTTTCGCACTTATTCCATAGGAAAGGAAGGAATGCATTTCTTCTCTCAGACTATGGGCGAAATGGCAGGGTTGAATGGTACTTACATTGCTCATCATATATATATATATATATATATATATATATATATATATAAGAATCATTCATACAAAAAACAGATATGGAAGTTAATGATTTAAATTTATAAATTCCAGTTGCATAAAGTCTTTTTTAGTTTTTACTTTTGTATAAATTAAAAAGACCTTATGCAACTGGAATTTATAAACAGGGATCATATCATTCATATACAGGTTCGGGGTTAATGTACTTTTATTAAATTTGTTTGCGAAGATGTATTCTCGCCATTTAAATCATTAAATTTTATGTCTGTTTTTTGTCTGAATGATTCATGTAATATAAATTGAACGGCACCGCATACTTGATAATATATATATATATATATATATATATATATATATATATATATATATATATATAGAATATAGTCATCCACAGACAAACCCTTTTGCTGTATCACAGCTCATCAATTGTAGTTAGATGTCCAATTGCCTCAAGCCGGGTTCGAAACTCTGCGCCCGGTAGAGAGAAATGGAATATATATATATATATATATATATATATATATATATATATATATATATATATATATATATATATATATGTGTGTGTGTGTGTGTGTGTGTGTGTGTATATATATATATATATATATAGCCTTCTATGTTAATCAAATAACGTTGGGTTATAAATATACAAAGTTCTGTAGTGATACCTAGTCTGATGAGTGCAGTGTATATACACGTGTATAAGTCGTCTTCATGTGTTACTCCTGAATTTTTCAGGAATTTTACCTACTAGAAAAAAAATGCATATAGAAAATTGTATATATATATATATATATATATATATATATATATATATATATATATATATATATATATATATATATATATATATAAGTATCTTAAATGGCTGGTCGCGGGTGTTTTTTTTAATGTAGTTCACTCGGTTTGTTATGTGATTTTAACTTTTTACCTTATTTTTACTATATATATAAAGAAAATGAAACGAAAAAATCTGCGTTGATAAAACTACTCGTCCGAACATCGAAGTTAAGCTACGTCGAGCCTGATCAATGCGTTGCTGGGTGACTGCTTCTGAATAGCGAGTATTGCAAGCCTAAATGTGTCTGTTGTGTGGATAACGGCTCGGAATTGGAACCCGAAGAGCCGAGTTTCAATTCTAGTTGAGTTCGTTATATTTTTTAGGCGCAAATACACTTGGAAAAGATATGTATCAACTTCTCCTCAGACCTATAGGTTAATTAGTATGATTTGTTTCAGTAAATCATTCTTATCCACCCACCAAAAAAAAAAAAAAAAATCATACAATCTAAAAATATTATCTAGTTTTAAATGAACTGCAAAAAGGTTGATAAGCCGTAAAAATAAATATTAATCAATTGTCACGGGATATTGGTAACAGCCGAGGCCTGAGATTATAATCAATTACGAAAGAGAAAACGACAGACAATCAAAGGTTGAAATCGCCCCCCCCCCCAAATCCTTAGAAAGTTACAGTGAAAGAATCAAAATCACTGGAAAAAGATCATAAAATGTGTATAAATATTTTCTCCCGAGGATTTTTCACAATTATAACCTCTTATTTTCTGATTTTGCTGGGTTCTCTGGGGTGTCTGACATCACACACGATGTTCTTTATCTCGCCACTGTCCTCGGGATTCAATTGATATGACAATCACAACACCCGGCCTCTACCGCCGTTCACTTTAACAATTGTCCCGCTTGTTCGATTGACATGCCTAAGACACGAGCCGCTAGGCCTTTAAATGTCGCTCAGATGTATTTCTAATTATCCTTCTGTTCTCGAGAGGGTGAAAATGCTGAAATTTTGACAGTATGTCTTCATTTCCCAAGACGAACACTCGTGCTTTTCTAAGTTTAGCTTTTTCTCCCCGATGTCAGGAAAGACCAGCTAAGTTAGATAGCGAAAATTAAGTTTTCAGATCTCTTTGATATTTTTCTCTTCAGTAATTCCGATATCATCCTTTCAGCGAGGAAACTGTTAGCGAGAACATTCTAATCTCCATTTGTTACCTGCTTTGCCGTTGGCATGTGAAAATATTGGATAATTCCTAATATTTGGAGGCAAATTCTTGATACACAAAATACCAGAGATAACCATCTTTCACATTTTGGGATGAGTCGAAATGTGAAACTTCTCAACACACACAAGCTTATTTTTTGAAGAACCAATGTAACACCCGTTAATATAAAGATTTCGAACCATGCTACATGCTTTATATATATATATATATATATATATATATATATATATGAAGAAAAATATATACGGAAAAAACAAAACAAAAATCCTTATATACGATTATGCTGTTTTAATATTAATATGTCAACGTCTGACGTTTCGGTCTAATAAACCATCTTCAGGACATATTCATAAATTATAACATTATCAATACAACATGACAAAGACGATGTACATTAGAACATTGTTCTAATGTACAGACGTTGACATATTAATATTAAAACAGCATAATCGTATATAAGGATTTTTGTTTTGTTTTTTCCGTATATATTTTTCTTCATACTGTCGGATCTATATCCATATATTTGCTTACATATATATATATATATATCATACGTTATGAAATGGAAAAAGTCCGACAATTATTTTAAGACATTTTTATGTTCATACATTCTTTTTATAGATACAAATATTTAAGTAAATGCTCTGTTTATAATGAACAGTATTAAAGAACATTTACCGGCCTGAATGTCCGCGAAATTTTCACAGAAAATATTCGTCCTCTGACAGGATTCGAACCTGTATCATATACGGAACCGTCATCTAGCTTGACGTGACTTTAACCGATTTGGCCACACAGGAGCGTTGGATTAGCAAGGTTGAATTTACTGTATTTGAACTTCAATCGTCTATGATTCGCTCACGTATATTAACATCTGCTCATAGCGTATCAAATGTAAACAAATGACGTCACACATTATGAAATGGACTAAGTCTGACATTTTAAGACATTTTTAAGTTTATATATTCTTTTTACAGATACAAATATTTAAGTAAATGCTCTGTTTATAATAAACTGTATTAAACGTCATTTACCGGTCTGAATGTCCGTGAAATTTTCACAGAAAATATTTATTGTCTGACAGGATTCGAACCTGTATCCTATACGGAACCGTCATTTAGCGTGACGTGCTTTAACCGATTTGGCCGCAGAGGAGCGTTCGATTAGTCGAATTTACTGTATTTGAACTTCAATCTTCAATGAATCTCTCACGTACATTCATATCTGCTCATGGCGTATCAAATATAAACAAATGACGTCACGCATTATGAAAATTTCTCGGACATTCAGGACGGTAAATGTTGTTTAATACTGTTTATTATAAACAGAGAATTTACTTAAATATTTGTATCTATAAAAAGAATGTATAAACATAAAAATGTCTTAAAATATACATATATATATATATATGTTTATATATATATATATATATATATATATATATATATATATATAATCGACTCTCACGTCGAGATTCGACGTATGAGGGTCAAGATCAGTTTCCAGGAAACCGACAGCCCGACACCGGCACATGAGATTTGATTATAGTGGTGAAGGCCTCGTGTAAACACACACACACACACATATATATATATATATATATATATATATATATATATATATATATATGTGTGTGTGTGTGTGTGTGTGTGTGTGTGTGTGTGTATTTACATATACAGGGTGTCCATAAAGTTCGTGTGCACTTTAGAAAATTTATAACTTTATTTGTATTTGCAATAGAAATAATTTTTAAAAGGATTAGAAAGAAGTAAATCTATACTTTCTTAAGGTTTTATTGAAATTTTATTCAAGTTTCCACACGTCCGCCATTATTAGCAATACAAAGGGTAATACGATTTTGCAGTTCACGGAAAACATTTGCCAACTGATTTACAGTAATGCCTGAAATCACATTTGTTATTTTAGCTATACTTAAAACTAGGTACATTTAACTTTATAACATTTTTACAGATGATTTTTATCGCAAAAACAAATAAAGTTATAAATTTTTAAAGTGCACACGAACTTTGGATGGAATATATATATATATATATATATATATATATATATATATATATATATATATATAGTGTATAACCCGGATATAAGAGAAACCCGGATATAAGAGATTTTCTCTGGTCTTAAATTAGAGCCTGTGTTAATGTATATAAATTAGACCCGGATATAAGAGAAACCCGGATATAAGAGAAATTTTCTCTGGTCCCGTCCTTCTCGATATAAGAGAGTTCGTTTTGAGTGACAGTGTGATGTCGTAAATCGGTCAAATAGAGGTCAGTTAGAGGGATAGTGAAGTTCAATGACTTAATCTTGACTAGTCTAGAGACACGGTGTGTCCAATCTGTGTCTGTAGGAGACTCCCTCTACCTTATGATTTTGCTTTGTGTGTCTAAGGGTAGCGCCACCCGCTTTTTTGCCGACTTTGCTTGTTGTTGCATTTACTGGATAGCACTTTCACTTTACCCACTGTTCTGTTGAGTCAGAAGTTTGTTTGTTAATTTTGCCACTGAAAACCGTTTGCTTGCGATCAATGCGATTAGTGATGTCGGCGTCGGCGTCTCAACGAAAAACTCTGAGTATTTTTGAACAGTTCATCGACGATGTCAAAGTGAAGAAACTCAAACTGGCCGCTGCTGCCAAAAAGTACGGAATCGGTTATTCAACAGCAGCAAAAATTCTCAAGAAAGAAGACGATCTCAGATCTTGCATGCAAATGAACGGAAACACTAATCGCAAACGAAAGCGCCAATCCGTGCACAAGGACGTTAACGAAGCGCTTACACAATGGTTTACGCAAGCATGTGCTCATGGAGCTACCGTCACCGATCACGTCATCAGGCAGAAAGCATCACAACTGGCCGTAAATCTTGAAGTTGATTTTGAACCGAGCAATGGCTGGCTCATGCGCTGGAAGCAGGCCAATAACGTTTCGTTCAAAAATTTTTCACGGCGAATCAACGTCAGCAGATCACGGTTCTGCCAACGAATGGGTGACAAATGTTTTGCCGCATTTTTTTCGTGGATATGATCCAAAAGATGTTTGGAACTGTGATGAAACGGGAATTTTCTACAAAGCCATGCCGTCTGGATCTTTGCGATTTGCCGGCGACGAACAGTCAAATGGGACAAAAAGTTCCCAAAGACAGACTCACGATGCTTCAGTTCACAAACATGGACGGCAGTGAAAAGCAAGCTGTAGTTGTTGGTAAGTCGGCAAAACCACACTGCTTTAAAAATAAAAAACTCTGCCGTTTTCTTACTTCGCTAATCGTAAAGCCTGGATGACTAGTCAGCTGTTTACTGACGTTATGAAAACGCTTGATCGAAAAAAATGATTGCTCAAAATCGAAAGATTATTCTGTTTTTGGACAATGCAACTTGTCATAACTTACTGCCGGGTACAAATCTGTCAAACATCAAATTGTCGTTCATGCCACCAAACACCACCAGTCTCATTCAACCTTTGGATCAAGGCATCATTCGTTCATTCAAAGCGTATTATCATCGGGAACTTGTTCGAATACAAATCACAGCGATCGATGCTACACCAGCAGTGCTGCTGTCCGAGGTGGCCAAGCAGATAACTGTTTTGAAGGCCATGCACATGATGAAGCGAGCACTTTTCATGGTCAAAGCCGTCAACAATTCAAAATTGTTTTAAAAAGGCCGGCTTTGTCATTGAATCACAGGCTGAAGTGGAAGAAATACTCGACGAAAATGATCAAGTTTCTCCACCATCGGGCATGGAGCAAACAGATTTTTTGACAAATTTATCAGCTTCGACGACCGAACACAATGTTATGGAGAACTGACTGACACGGACATCACACGTGGTATAAAATCGGATGATCAAGATTTTGATGAAGATGATGATGCTGAAAGTGTAAGTTCTGAAGTTTTTGAAAGTGACAAACCAGTGCCAAATTCTCTGGCTGCATTGAATGCGCTTGAAACTCTGACAGCCTACTTTGAAGCAAAAAGCAATAATCCTGATGGCGCACTGAAAATGATTCACGGTCTGTATGAAAGTGTTCATGATGTTAACAAAGAGATTTCTGTACAATCTAAAATGACTGACTTTTTTAAGAAAAAGTAATTTTTGATTGAATTATTTTGAAAACTGAAGGAAAATGTATTTTTGTCTGTGTTTTTTATGTCTATAACTGTTAAATAAACTAGTGTTCTGTACGTAAAAAGCGTTATATGAAGTGTTCCCATACTTACCTAAACAAAATAGACCAAACCCGGATATAAGAGAAACCCGGATATAAGAGACTTCTTCTCCGGTCACGGCAACTCTCTTATATCCGGGTTACACTGTATATATATATATTGAACAATAAAAATATTAAAAAAATTAAAAAATTATAATCTTCAGACATACTGGGTTGTATATTAATATTCCTTCGTTTTTATTATAATTTAGGTTCCTCAACTAGTTTCGGCCAACATGGCTATCATCAGGAGAAAAATAATTTTCTGCTTGCTGGTAACAGTGAACTACAGAAATGAATATGTTGATGGAGAACATGAACTTTTGTCTGTAGTTTTCATTTGTTTTTTTACTTTTTTAACATGAATTTTGGTCAGTCTTTGTATTGGTCACACATTCTCTTTTAAGTTGTTATTTGAGATAAGAGCTGGATGGATTCATGCTGCTCTGAATTCCCTTGGTCATTTTGACAATTTTATTGGTTCCTGGAAAGAGGATATGTCTCTGTTAATTGTGTCTGTGTTATTTGGTTCTTAGGAAGTGAGTGAGTATGATATCTGTAAGCCTGTATATTACTATGGGTGTGTGTTATCATTTGTCTCGTTAGGGAGTGAGTGAGCATATGTTTAAGTGTGTATATTCGTGTGTGTGCATAACTGTGAGGCCTCAACACCTCCGTAAGCATGTCTTTCTTGTGTGGGTAAGAAATGTGTGTAGGTTTTGATTTGCCGGGTTATATATTAATACTATCTATATTGTTAAATTTATGGTTTAGCCCGGCTGGATAGTGTGTTTTTGAACGTTTTATCCACTTATTTTCATGGAACTCTAAAATCTTTCTAATGTTATCTGCTCTGAACTTTTCTATTCTGTCAATTATAGTGAATTTGGGATGGGTTTTAAAATCATGTTTTTCTAGGCGGAAATGTTCTACAGGTAATAATAGTTCATGGGGAGTCGACTTAATTCGATTGCGATAATTATTAATTCTGTAGTGAATGGGACATTCAGATTTTCCTACATATTGTTTCTGGCATAGTGTGCATTCTAGGAGGTAAAGGCCTGTGGAAACTTCTACAGGTAGAGTCGTGGTAGATTTTTAAAGTAGATTTAGTGACTGAGCTAGTGAATGAATTCGTGTCTAATGTGGTTGCAGCATAAGCTTCTTTTGTTTTTACATGGTTGGAAAAATCCTGTTGTTTTTGTTGTTAGTTTATTACGGATTACCTTTTCCCTTGAAATGTGGTTACTACCTATGATTTCTTTTAGGTTCTTAGGTCTACGATATGCTATAAGGCGGTGTTCCTCAAATAATTTTTTAGATCTGGTTTTATATATATATATATATATATATATATATATATATATATATATATATATTATTCATTTTAGGATATTAAATCAAAAACATGTTTAAAATCGCTACACAATTGCAGTCGTGTTTCGACGCATGTCAATGTGTTTCCACAGGATATTGTAAATTACTGACGAGTGAACGATTAAATTAATTTCAAAGCAAAATAACTCCTCTATTTTCGAGAAAAATATAGGCTTGAGGGATCTATCAATCGAAAATGACCTACATTAAATACAGACGAATCTTAATATTTTAAGTTGATATGGTTAAAGAAAATTCAGTCTATATGATTAAGGGTGGTTGGGTTTTAATTTCCCTTGATAATTTATATATTAAATATATGTTGCTTACAAATTAGACTTAAGTTTAGGTGGGGTGGGGTGCCTGCTCACAAACATAGACATCCATTTTCCGCATGTCGTTTGGATTTCGAATGAAAAAAAAATGGAATTTTTATTTATCCGTGTTAATTCATATTTTTATACACAAAGATTTTATAAGAAGGTCATCTAAATATGAGTAAGCCTTATGTTTAATATTTGAATTTTATTTTTACGGATTTTAAGATTGTCTGCGCTTATAAATTAAGTAAATTTCTTAGATAATTATTCTTATCTTCGCGTGAGAATGGAACGAAAACCTAGATTTTAAGTTTAATCTTTATAATTAAATTTACAATTTTAGATTCAGTTTTAAAACAGAAATTTCCGTGTAGCGATGGAATCGTATTTTAAAAAAAAAAAAATAATTATAAAACAATCATATATATATATATATATATATATATATATATATATATATATATAATTATATATATATATATATTTACATATAAATAATTGTATATATAATTATACAATATATATATATATCATATATATATAAAATGTATATTATATATATATATATATATATATATATATATATATATATATATATATTTATATATATATATTTATATATATATATATATATATATACAAAATATTAATTTTGTATATATTTATATATATATTTATATATATACATTTTATATTAATTATATTTATTATTTATATATTATATATATATATATACAATATATATCTTATATATAAATATATGCAGGAATTATATTATATATATATTTATATATATATATATATATATATATATATATATATAATTATATATGTAATATATATTACAATTATTATAATATAATAATTATATATATACAATTATATATACAATTATATACGTATATAATTATATATAAAATTATATATTAAAATTACATATAAATATATATATATATATATATATATATATATATATATATATATATATAAAAAAAAACAAAACGCGCATCAGACCAAAAATATCTTGGAAAATAAGCAAAGGTCATCAGCCTACAACAACCAATCAAAAACTTGCAAACTTTGCTTGGAGGAAAAAATAGTTATCATTACCTTCACAAACCAAAATAAATTATTAAATAAACGATCCGAGCTCATCTCAAAATGCAGACATAAAAACAAATTTTTACTACTTTACTTAAAAATCAAAAACTGAAAAAATAAAATAAAAAAAAAATAAATAAACAAAATAAACAAAATAAAATAAAAAAAAATAAATTTAATTAATCCAAACAAATTACCAAATCACACCTGTTAGAATAGACGAAATAGAATAATAATAAATAAATAAAAAAAAAAAAAAAAAAAAAACAATAAACCCAAAAATAAAGTAAATAATAAACAAATTAACAAACCATTATGACCAAAATATTAGTTAGACTAAAAAATCAAACCAAAAAATCAGACGAAAAAAATAGCTATAACTGTTATAAAACGATACAAAAAAAAAAAATAAAAAAATAAAACAAAAATAAATAAATAAATACTACGTTACTAAAAAATCAGTATAAAATATAAATAATAAAAAAACAAGTAAAATAAATTAATCTAAATTCATCCAAGTAAATAAACAAACAAACACATTATTAAATTAAACGTTGAAAAAAAAAAAAAAAAAAAACAAATAAAATAATCAATCAAATAAATACAAATAAAAACAAATTAAAAACTGTTCCTGCCAAAATAATAGTTAAAATAAACTACAACAATCAACCCCAAAATTGAATAAATGGCTTTAATCTCCTCAAATCAAAACAAAACTATTAAATAAGTGATATAAACAAATTTTTACTACGTTAATAAAAAACACCGATTAAAAAAAAAAAAAAAAATAAATAAATAAAAAATAAAAAAAAAAAAAAAAAAAACCTTGTAAACTGAACAATATTTAAAAATAAATAAACAAATAAACATTTAAAAAAAATAACATTTAAAAAAAGACTAAAAATAAATAAAAACAAGTAATATATATTTTTAACCCAAATAAATAAACGACTTCTGAGTTCTAAAGGGAATTTTGGCCGAGCCTAATAGGCTCAGAGAAATCCACGTTAAACTCG